ATGTTCTGTTTGATAATGATTTCTTCTGGAACAAGCACATATTAATTGACTAAGAATTGATTAAAATTGATGAAGTCATAGATTAAAATTGGTTTTCACCAACTCGAATAACCCGACCCTACCCGAGGTCACCCGAAAGGTTGCGGGTTTGTAGAATTAAGAGAGTGTCACGGCCTAAAATTTTCTCAACCCGTACTGGTCGAGTAGGCTCAATTTTTCGGCTCAACCCTTAATCCCTACTACTAAATGGAGCCTTACTCTGTTGTTCTACAATTCCTGTTTGCTTGATTGAGCGTAATGCTTTTATAGATAATCCCTGACGCCCACACACAAGTGAGCAGATGAGAACGATGGAGAACTGCAAAGCAAATTAAAAAAAAAAAAAAAATTGAATGCCTAGAAACAATTGAAACTTGAATACTAATTTTACTTTTAAAAGAAGTGTGTTTGTTAATTATAACTCATAAAATACTAAAAATTCATTTAATTTGCTGACTTGAATTTTTAATTTAAGTTAAGATGTTATTTTATATGAGAATTTTTTACTATAATAAAAAAATTAAATGTAACTGTTTTTAAGAATTTTTTACCATAACAAAACTCAAATTCTAAACTTAAATTGAAAATAAACATGATCTAATTCACAGGAGATTAGTGCTAGTACTTAGCTATTCTTTTATCTCACGATTGTTTGCACTTTGCATGACTTGATTGTTGGAATGTCTTGCACAGATAAACTGTGATCCCTCAACAATGAGGAGCAGATGAGAGCGATGAAGAACAACGAAGCAAGTAGAGAACATTGATATTGAAAGTCTACTCAAACATTGAGTGCCTGGCAAAAGTTGAACTTTGAATATTTATCGTACTTTTAGAAAGAAATGTATTTGTTGTTGAAGATTGTGGAGCCTAATCACGTTGGAAATCAAGAAAAAAGGGAGAAAAAAGCTGTTAAGTGCCACGACCGTGGTTGTTGAGCGCCGCAACGCTGGAGAAGAAGTGTGTAGCTTCTGGCAGAAGACCCGACGCTGTAGCGCCCGTTCATGGGCGCCGCTCGACGCGCACAGCATGGCAGCATTTGAAGTGGTGCCGCAGCGCTGGTGCGTGCCAAGTCAAGTTTGAGTCGGTTTTTGGGTTTTCTTTTAGACTTTTTTCAGGCTTTTCTTGTATTATATAAATATCTATCGTTAGGGGTTTTAATTGTGACAATTTTTTTAGAGAAAATTGAGTGTGATTGCTGAGAGAAATCTGTATTGAGTAATTCTCTGTATTGAATTTTTTAAAAAATATAGTGAAATTTGCAGCCACAGAAATAAAACGTAATCAATTGGTGAACTTGTGTAAAATCTTTTGTGAGATTTGTGTTTTTATTTTTCGTTCATTAATTTTTGATTCTCTGTAATTTATTTAAGTTTAACCTAAATTTCCTAACATTTGTTACTCGTAAGATCTTTAATTTGATTATGTATTGTTTGATTGTGATTTAACTGTTTCGTACTAACATAGTTGTAAAAAACTAACAATCGCGAGCAAATATTAACAATTATAAAGTTTTTTTAAAGGAGATTTTATAGCCAAAAAAAAAAAGTTATTCATACTGTACGTTAATGTAAGTTATGTAATTTTAGAATAGAATCGGTGAAATGTTTAATTTTTATCCCAAACATGAATCAGATCCAACGACTTATCAATAGTTCTTGTGATACTTCCATAGATTATTTGTAAATTTTTTTTTTTTTTCACGCTTTACTTCTCGTAATTAATATTTTTATTAATCTAAAAAAATTTCTTTGTGGGCTGAGTCCAATGGAGACTACTGCAGAAGTATTAGGGGCTGTTCTTTTATCTTTTTTGAGTTAGGTGATTTAAGTATAAATTTTGAGTTGAGTTTAAGTTATAACTTGAGTTGAAGTTGTAACTTGAGTTTATGTTTAATTGTGTGCATTTGAGTTATGATTTGAGATAAAAATCTTTTTGAGTTTGTGTTTGAGTGAGTCAAAATTTAAATTTGTATTTAGATAGTATTTTAATAAAAACTCAATGTGTAACACCCTGCAGAATTAATTAAGATTAATTAAGGTAATTGAGATTTTTAGTGTGCCTAATCTGGATTATTAATTGAGTTTAATTAATAAATATTTCTGACACGTGTGAGTTTAAATAGTTCCAAGGTATTTAAATTATTCTCAGTAATTTATTTTAAACCAGAAGTGTGTATGGGTGCATTTCTGGACTGCTTTTTTAAAATATTGACACTTGTCCATTTTCTTTCCATTTTCTGTTTCTTTTCCTTTTCTTTCCTTTTTCCTTTTTCCTTTCCTTTCTCTTTCCTTTCCCGTGCACTCTCTCTCCTTCACTCTCACTCTCCTGTGCTCTCTCTCTCTCTCATTTTGTCCCAAATCAAACAGATCTTGAACCAAGTAAAGAATTAAAGAAGTTTTCAACGTCAAGAGAAGGATTCGAGATAAGATTACTGAAAGAACCTCTCTTGAATCTCAAGTTTTTAGATTTCAAAACTTATTTTTCATTCAAACCGGATTTTGATGGTTTTTAAGTAAAACTAGAATAGAAATTGGAGATCTTGGGTTCTTTGGACTTGTTTTAGGACCTAGAACCCAGATCTAGTGGTTTCCCTTTGAAAAATCTTGATTTGGGACTGAATTTACAGGTTTTAGATTGATTTCCGCGAGCTTCTCTCGCGCAGCTGATTCCACCGGTCGACCAGTGCGGTCGGCCGGATCACATGGAAATCGGTCGACCAATGCGGTCAATCGGACTGTAAGGCTGACCGGTCGACCGGTGTGCACACTACCGGTCAACTACCAGTTGACCGGTAGTGTTGCACTGCTTTGTCACCGGTCGACCAGTTGACACGGGATTTGACCCTGTTCGGCCTGAAATTACTGTTTTGACCCCTGTTTTCGGGGAGAACCCAAATTAGCTTCATTTGGGGACTTGAGATAGATGGATTAGCATTGTTAATCATTGTTCTGAGATTGAAAACCCTTGGAATGATAATTTGAAACATGAAAATGGATTAGGGCACACTAATAGGAAATCTTGGTCGGAAATTGAGATTTGGATTGCTTTAGGAATGAGAATTAATCCTAAAGTGTCGTCTTGCATCAGTGATCACTGAGGATCCAGACTGAAGGGGCTTGAGGAAGCGGAAGCCAGAAAAAGGCAACGCTAGTCCCAGGTTTGATCGTGCGAGGT